AAGCATTCAAGATTTTTTTTTAAAGCTTGTTTAGTTGTAATGTGGTAATGCTTTATGGGAATAAACTCTGGCTGACCCGCTCAAGGGAGATAAGCTTGAAAACATTTAGGGTTTTGATTTGCTCAAAGGGGGCGTTTACCGTTTTTGAAGCAGAAATCCAGTGGGAAAATAGGTTTCCCGGTGCTAGCTGTGTTTCAGTGCAAAAAGCATGCCTTTGAAGTCTAGTTCTCATCTCAAAAGACCTAACTGTTCATAAAACTAAGAACAAGGTGGATGGATAAAGCTGTGTGAGAGGGCTTCCCTTCCCTGGTGGCGCAGTCAGTGGTTGAGAGTCCGCCTGCCGATGCAGGGGACGAGGGTTCGTGCCCCAGTCCGGGAAGATCCCACAAGCCGCGGAGCGGCTGGGCCCGTGAGCCATGGCTGCTGAGCCTGCGCGTCCGCAGCCTGTGCTCCGCAACGGGAGAGGCCACAACAGTGAGAGGCCCGCGTACCGCAAAAAAAAAAAAAGTTATGTGAGGAAGCTTCAGCATGAACGCGTTTGGAAACTTCAATCCTATACCGCTTTCCTCCCCTCGCATCTCATCTGGCTCCGGCCCTACCAACCCCGTGTGTCACTGAGCTGTGTCTGTATGTCTTTCAGGGTCTATCTGGGCTTAACTGAAATCCTTGTCTTCTGTGGGCATCTGAGTTACAGAGAAAAGAGAGAAAGACTGAGGATGAGCCAGATGTGTGTTTAGTGACAAAGAAATGCATCCACAATGTACAAAGCAATCAGGTTATAAAAGCATGTATTCTCCTTTTTTTAAAAAAAAATTATTTATTTTCGGCTGCATTGGTTCTTCGTTGCTGTACGCGGGTTTTCTCTAGTTGCGGCGAGCGGGGGCTACTCTTCGTTGCGTTGCACGGGCCTCTCATTGTGGTGGCTTCTCTTGTTGCAGAGCACGGGCTCTAGGCACGCAGGCTTCAGTAGTTGTGGCACATGGGCTCAGTAGTTGTGGTTCATGGGCTCTAGAACGCAGGCTTAGTAGCTGTGGTGCACGGGCTCAGTGGCTCTGTGGCATGTGGGATCTTCCAGCAGGGCTCGAACCCATGTCCCCTGCACTGGCAGGCAGATTCTTAACCACTGTGCCACCGGGGAAGTCCCCATTTTTGTTTTTTTAAAAAAAGAAAGCTTGGGGCTTCCCTGGTGGCGCAGTGGTTGAGAGTCCGCCTGCCGATGCAGGGGACACGGGTTCGTGCCCCGGTCCGGGAAGATCCCACATGCTGCAGAGCAGCTGGGCCCGTGAGCCATGGCCGCTGAGCCTGTGAGTCCAGAGCCTGTGCTCCGTAATGGGAGAGGCCACAACAGTGAGAGGCCCGCATACCACAAAAAAAAAAAGAAAGCTTGCGTGCATGTAAACACATAGATAAGACAGAAAGAACTTAAGCATTAAGGAACCGTGGGTTAGGTTTCTTGCGATTTGAGGTGACTTTAACGTGCTGATAACTCTCAGAAGCACCTGAACCCTTAACAATAGTATGAAGTATTTAGATATTTGGGAATGGGAGAAAAGGAAAACAAAAACACCATAGATTGGATTGGCCAAAAAGTGAATTATCCATCTACAAGAACACGTGAGATTTTGTAAAAAGCATCTCTAAGTGAAACACAGAATGGTGGAAGTGTCTGAGTACGGCTGAATGGAATGACGTCCCATTGTTGTGTGGAGGGCTGGTGTGTCACGGGCTTTGAATACTCAAGACATCACTCATGGGTCAGAGCTTGGGCACACTAGCTGGACCCAAACTACGCACATAATAAAATAAGCTCAAAACTCAGTTTCAGTAATGTCGCTGTCATAAATTGTCACCAAAGTTAAGTCGTCAAGTCCCTTTCTGAGGTAAAGACAGTTGCCCTGTGGTCACGGGGAATAACTAATCCACAATTTACTTATCATGCTTGACTATAAAGGGGGCTGGCAGGTGATCTCAAAGACTCATTTTATTTTATATCATCTAATGTAATACATCATTGTATACGTGTAACACTTCTTAAAGAGTAGATGAAAATTTGTGCCATGTCCTATAGATCCCTCAAGTTTGAAGATACTCAATTTGACTCCTGCTAAAGATGTCTTGGATTTGACAATTCACGAAGAATTGTGAGAAATAGCTCAAGAATTATAGAAACTCTGTAGAACTCTAGACTCTATAATAAAGTTCAGAGTTCTGGGTCCTAAACTAGGAGTACAGTTGACCAACGTTTTTTGACTTGAAATCGAGGTATTAGAATGGCTGACTTTCATTCCCCTGCTTAGGTTGCCATGCCATGCTATCTGTGTTAAATTTTTTAGGTTTAAGTTTCATTGGTTGACCATGTAGCCCACGATAATATGCATTTCCTGCTTTCCCCCACTAGCTCTTCATCACATTATTAATGAAATCTCAGTCTAACTCGTGCATAAGACTAGTGGAATTTAGTGAAAATACTCCTAAACGCTGACATTTTTGCTGATGAGCATTGTGGGGATACCCCCCTGCCCCATCTCCTGTGCTTTCGTCTTTAGGTTTCATTTAAAACTCCCATCTTTCATATTTTGGTAAGAGAAGACTTTAAGTGGAAGTGTAATCTGAGCATCCTTTCTAATACACTGACTCAGCATGGGCATTTTGAAGCCAGCTCTCCCATCTGTAGTGAGGGTATTAGAGCACAGTGACGGTATTTCAGAGCGCAGCTTTTGCAGTTGCGGCGCATCTTTGCTGGGAGCAGGGAACAGCCAGGTGAAATCCATTTCAGCACCGTTCAAGCCTTCTGGATTGATCATCTTGAATTGGATCTACTCCCTTCAAGGCTCTGATGGAAGCCTATGGTTTGGCCAGCATGCTCCACTGGCCTGTAAACGGCATGGAATGATGCCAGACAGAGTGTCCGGCTTTGAGATTACTTTGGCATGATCAGGTCTGGGTACTGTGGGATACTATTTAAGGCATTTTGTCATTGTGCGTAGTAACAGGTCCTCCAACACTTCGTTGTGTTGTGGAAAAATCTCTGGGTGCTTCCCTGGTGGTCCAGTGGTTAAGACTCTGCATTTCCAATGCAGGGTGCCCGGGTTCCATCCCTGGTCAGGGAACTAGATCCCGTATGCCTCAGCTAAAGATCCCGCATGCCGCAACTAAGACCCAGAGCAGCCAAATAAATAAATACTAAAAAAAAAAGAAAGAAAGAAAGAAAAAGAAACCATCTGTATATTTAAAAAAAGAAGAAAAAGAAAAATCTCTGGAAGTAGTTGGTGGTGAGCCCTGGCCTTCAGGCCATGGCTGAGCTCTGGGACCCGCGGCCCGCCAGCCTTCCCCTCCATAATCACTTTGAGTCTCAGTGTCTTCATCTGAAAAATGGAAATAGTAGCACCTCGCTAAGTTGGTTTTAAGGAAAATGAGAAATGTATGCGGCCCATAAAGCATTGTTGAAATCCTTAGGTTCCTAGTGGTTATTGTACGATTTTTTTTTTTTTTTTTTGCGGTACGTGGGCCTCTCACTGTTGTGGCCTCTCCCATTGCGGAGCACAGGCTCCGGACGCGCAGGCTCAGCGGCCATGGCTCACGGGACCAGCCGCTCCGCAGCATGTGGGATCTTCCTGGACCGGGACACAAACCCGTGTCCGCTGCATCGGCAGGCGGACTCTCAACCACTGCGCCACCAGGGAAGCCCTATTGTAAGATTTTTATTTGGCTTAAAACTTTTTACCTATATTCTCAGGATTTAAAAAATTAGGGCATGTCTTAGGAATTCCCTGGCAGTCCCTGGCTTTCACTGCTGTGGGCCTGGGTTCAATCCCTGGTTGGGGAACGAAGATCCTGCAAGCCCTGGGGCGGAAAAAAAAAAAAACTGGGCATGTCTATATGTCTACTGTTTTTGCATCTGATGACGTCAATTGCACGGGCTATCCTATGGGGCCGATTGTAAACCACCGTTTTAGTAATATTTTTAAGGAAAATACAATGAGTCGTGAACACACATGTTAGGCGTCTCTTTGTTCACTTCACTTGGCTCTGGATACACTGGTCTTTGAACCACGGGGCCTTCTCACTTGCCTCCCCCTTACCTTTTGCTCACATACCCCTTGCTGGCATCTTAGATCTCAGCTTTACCTTTACATCCTCAGAGAAGCCTTCACGACACCCTGGCCTAGGTCATGGCCCTCTGTTTGTTGTCATTTGCTGTATGTATTCCTTCTTCGTGACAGTTTCCATAGCTGCAATTCAGTAATTATTTATTTAAATGTCTGCCCTCTTCCCCAGAAGGACACATTGTTGCTTAGATATATATTCCAAGCAAATTTTTATATCTTGTGTCTAATCACAAGGAAACATTATTTTAAAGTAAAAAATATTTTTCAGGGCTTCCTTGGTGGCGCAGTGGTTGAGAGTCCGCCTGCCGATGCAGGGGACATGGGTTCGTGCCCTGGTCCAGGAAGACCCCACATGTCGGGGAGCGGCTAGGCCCGTGAGCCATGGCCGCTGAGCCTGCGCGTCCGGAGCCTGTGCTCCGCAACGGGAGAGGCCACAACAGTGAGAGGCCCGCGTACCGGAAAAAAAAATTTTTTTTTCAGGGGGCTGTGTGCCTTCCACAGTAGTTTGTAAGCTCAAAGTGTCTGGGACCACACCTGACTTAGTTGTTGTGAAATCTCAAACAGGCCTGCCTGGAATGATGGGTGTTGTGTGTCAGGCCTATGCCTGGTTTTTCAGAAGAGTGAACGAATGCATGAATGGTGTGTACCTTTATCCAGATAGAGTCCTATCTGCTTGTTCATAGCTCCTTGTATTTTTTGTAAGATAGCTGGATCATTCAGACAAAAAAAAAAAAAAAGACTTAACTCTTCACTGTCACTAGCCCTCCAGTTCCCTGTATTTCTCCTCTAAATGATTTATATTCTCGAACTTATTTATATTCTCGAACTTATCCTTTCTAACTTGGTTGTGAAGATTGAAATTAAGTTTACATGGTTCTGTCTTCCCCTTAGCTACTACAGAAGAATGGTCAGCTGTCCACTGTGAACGGCTTAGCAGAGCAAGGCCTCCAGGAGGGAGCCCTGAATGGCCAGGAGGAGGAGGAAACTGTCCCAGATGGTAAGTCGCTTTGCGGGGGACTGGGCAGAACCAGGGGCTGGAGGACAAAGAACACCTGCAACGGATCCCTGCAGAACAATAAAAACAGGCCTGGATAGAATGGGCACTGTCATCCTACCTGGGGGTGGGTGATGTTGACAACAAAAGCAGTCAATTGATTGCAAAAAGAAGTATTTATCTGGCCATTTGCATAGCCCCGTGGGAGCTTATAGTAACGCTTGGGTATGGAAGTGAAGCTGTTTTTCCTTTTTCTTAGGCATCCTTACCTGAAACTTCATGATCTTTTTGCTGTTGTTGTTATTGTTGCCTTATTCCAACAACTTGTCTGATGTCGAATGTGAATTCTTGTTGGAAATTCTGAAGTCTTGGTTGCTTTCAGAGTCAGTATCTCTCACTCTAGAGTAGCCTACTGGCCTTGTGAAGATTTTTCTGGTAGTGTACATTTCAAGGTGCATACCTCTTTGCCCAAACTATGATATGCTGCATGTGTTATAGCTCTTGAGCCTAGAGATCCTCAAGAGCTGTTTATTGGAAAGCAAATCTGTGACCACGCTATCACTGGTTTGATTTCAGCCCGTGGAGGGGCTGGGGACCACACCTGGGGGTCAGAATCAAGCACCTGGACAAGTAGGTCTCTTGCGAAGGCCACGTGTTGGAGAAGAACCTTCCTCTGTTCCTGTTTCTTGTCTCGTTGTTGCATTTAGTCCTAAAGGAATCATTTAGCCACTGCTGTTGAGGAGGCACAGAATGATCATTTTCCATAAGTGAACTCACGCTTACGTGTAATGTGAATAAGACAAATGAAGGCAAAGTCTTGTGAAAGCAGACTGGCCATTGCCTCGGTGAGATGAGATTCTTCTAACATGTGGAACCTGTTTCTCCTCGTGTTCAATGCCCCTGTGGAGCTGCTGCAAGCAGGGGGCTGCTTTTGAAGTTGGTGGGAATCCTGATCTTTCTATAGCACCACAGGCACCATATAAAGCTAGAAATACATACAGCCTCACAGAAAGAGGATCTGCACGACCTAGTGCGAGAGTTTCAAATAATTTCTACTAAAGTAATTGGAACGGCCCCAACTCAAATTCCAGAGTCCCACGCTCTGTCCTTCCCATAATAACTTTTGAATCAAATCAAGCCACAGCCGTTTTGGAGCCCTCCGTGGATGGCCAAGCCACCACGCCCTGTGCTTCGGGGAGGGTGAAGAAAGCTAAGAAACGGTCCATCAGGGGAGACAAGCTAGTCTATGGAAGGCTCCCTAAGATGAAACTAAGGGGGACTTCCCTGGTGGTCCGGTTACGGTCCGGGACCCACACGCCTGGAGTCAAGTTCCCCGGTAAATGCGACCCGTGTCCCAACCAAGGACACCCGAGAATCACCAACACCAAGCAGAAAGATTACAAAGGATTTATACAAGTACAAGTATAGAAGCTTACACAAACTGTCCAGACAGGGTCCCACTCGGAGAGAAGTGAGTGAGACCCTGTCCGGACAGTTTGTGTAAGCTTCTATACTTGTATAAATCCTTTGCTGATCTTTCTGCTTGGTGTTGGTGATTCTCGGGTGTCCTTGGTTGGGACACGGGTCGCATTTACCGGGGAACTTGACTCCAGGCGTGTGGGTCCCGGACCGCAACAGTCCAGTGGTTAAGACTCCAGGCTTCCAATGCAGGGGGCACGGGTCTGATCCCACATGCCGCATGGCCAAAAAAAAAAAAAAAAAAAAAAATGGTTAAGACAAGGCAACGTGTTGATTATCTAATGAATTTTCCAAGAGGTGAGAGCTGCTCAGAGCTCTGGAGGAGCCCTCGTTTGAGGTCAGGGTGTGGGATAAGGTCTGGGGGCTGAGGGGAGGTTAGGTTTAGATATGTTGGGACAGGGGCTGCCAGCCGGAAGAGGAGAATAAGAACAGCCAACACTTCACAGGCTTTTATTATGGGTCCTGGAACTGTGCCTTTTGTGCAGTATGGCCTCTAGCAGTAACCCTGTGAGACAGGTCCTATCTCGATTCAAACCCAGGTCAGCAGATTTCCAAGCACGAGCTCTCACCTGCTGTGCGGGGCACGTCCACAGGCTTGCCCACTGGGATGGCATCGTCTGAGCAAGAGGTAGAATGAAAACCCAGAAGGGAAAGTGCGCTGGGTCAGAAAGGCTTCAGAAAGTATTTTGGCAATGTGGGATCACTGAAATATGCCCCCAAGGGAGTGTCGGGCCAGGCCTTTTCATCTGATCTGGTGTGGAGGGTTGATAAGAGAAGGGAGGGGCTTCAGTGATGCCCTTGTTTCCATACAATCCTAGGTAGCGTGAAAATCCTGTCTAATCTGTGGCCTGTTTACTGGAGATCCGCTGGCTATCTTCCTTTAGTCCAGATGTAATTTCTTTCACTTTTCAGCCATGTGTTTAAACACTGATTTTTACGGAAAGTGATTCTGTTCCCACCCTGTGATTATTCCATTGTCTCCCTGAGCCTACCATGGCCTTGGGGGTCTGAGCAAATACAGATGCCTCTTGCAGGAAGAGTGGTAATTAATATACCTTGTCCTTCACAAGATCCTGAAGAGGCCTGCGGGCCTAGAAAGGACCCCCATGTGGCCCAGGGCTGCAGAGGCCACACCCCCCCGAGGCATTTCCGCAGGCTCTGCCTTTGCTATGAGCTTTTACTGTTTTAAGCAGAACTGTTATTGCTTTGGCTTGTTAGGGGGTTTCTGAGGCAGCCTGGTACATTTGTTTTTATTTTTTATTTTTTTCCTATTTTGTCTGCCTAGCAATGCAAATGCAGAAAATTCTTTATGTTAAACTATCAAACAGTATTTTTTCATGCTTTTATTTTGACATAGGTGATAACCTGTGGTTAGATTTTATGTATTTCCAGGAATCCGTGTCCTACATGGCAGCTTACTGTAATGTAAATGAAGGCATAATTTGGTATTTGATGCTTATTTGTAGGATTTGGTGGGCCTTGGTTTCTACTCTTGCCCACTTTCAGTAAGGAAAGATCTGAGCCACCCTGGTCCCTGGGAGGATTGGCCAGCAGTGGAATTTGGTCCTGCCGTAGGTGGATCCTTCGATGGGAGAAAACTACAAACGAGGGGCATTCCT